GATCTCGGCACCGTCACAGTCGCCTTTGCCAGTCACAAGCGCACACACACTCTCTATCTCTTTGCTGTGCTCGAATTTAGCATCGCATGACTCATGTCGAATCTCTCCCTCTCTGAAATTAGATAAATCATTCTTGTTCGCTCAGAATATTTAAGATGATATTCGACATATATCAAAATCCTCCTTTATCTCACAAAATCTGTGAATGTATAATAAACAGGAAACGGGGGACATTAGCATTAACCCAAGATTCTACAAGTTTTGAAGAGCCTCTTTTTTTTTTTTTTTTGATGGTACTCTTAGCTTTCATTGACTAAATGTAAAAATGTAGGTTGGCAACATCTTTCAACAGTAAATCTCTTTCGTTGGCGATGCATTCTAAAATAGAGTTTGTAGGAAAAACTTAACCGTTGGTTATGTCTTGAGTTGCTCCATAAAACACTTCATAAGTTCTTGATCCATAGCCACCTTTTAAGAAAAATGACATAAATTGTCCATAAACTTTAACCCAGTATACAATATCATCCCTGAACTTTTAACTTGTTCAATGTGGTCCCTAACTTTTGGTAAATGTTCGATCTAATCCATATATTATACAAAAACATCTAATTTTATCCTTCCATTAATTCAAGTTAATGGAATTTGCTCATTTGGTTTCCAATCCGACAAATTTGAATGTTGGGCAAAAAAATAAAGTTACACATGAATTATCAACATAAGATATTCAACTCCAATCAAGATATAATAATCCATGCCATCAAATTGAACAAATTAAAAAGATTATTATATTCTAATTTAAGTTGATTATCTTACGTGAATAATCACGTGTGACGTTTTTCTTTTTTTTTACAATTCAAACATACCGGATTAAAAGCCAAATTAGTAAATTCCGTGAACTTGAATTAATGGAAGGATAAAATTGGATGTTTTCATGAACTTTAGGGACTAGATTGAACGTTTATAAAAAAAAAAAAATAGGATCGCATTGAATAAATTAAAAGTTAAAGGATGATATTATACATTGAATTAAAGTTAAAGGACCACATTGAATAAATTAAAAGTTGAGGGATGAAATTGCACGTTGGGCCGAAGTTAATTAATCATTTATGTCATTTTCCCTACTTTTTATGCCGGATCTTCCTATTCGATTAAAGGGCCAAATTTGGCTATCTTCAATTGCATTCGAACTTAAAGGAATTGCCAAAATCTTGTGGGCAACGTGTTCAAGGAAATGCTAAGAGATAGCATCATAACTTTCCAGCTTCTCCAATGGACTCCATTTATGCCTTCTGGAGAGGACCACCAGTAGTTCGCAATCTTCTTTTCAATCATTCCACAGACAAATATTGCTATTTTGAAACAAAACATAGCTTAACATGGGATGGCACTCCTAAATATCCTCTGGCACCTTGTAAAAGCGGTACTCCGAGAGTTTCTGCAACATTTATCTGATGACTCTCTGGACAAGCCTTACTCAAGGGAACCCTAGATTTGTTTAGGTTAGTTGCTTGCGCAGACGCATGACAATATTGATTCAAAATGTTCAACAGCTCCTAACGTTCTCCGATAGATCTCTCAAGGAAGAAGATCAGGTCTTCAGCAAACAATAAGTGGGACAAAACAGGGCATTCCGAGGTCAATCTTATTCCTTTGAGCCAACCTATGATTAAGATTGATAGGGATTCTGCAACTAGGATAAACAGACGAGTAGAGAATGGATCTTCTTGTCATGAACCTCGCAACGTAGGAAATACGGGAGTAGTTCTCCATTGAACTCGATGCCGAAAGAAACACCAGAACCAGTCACACAATGTGTGATCCAGTAGAAACATACAGAGCAGAATCCTAGCTTCATCCAATAAGCCCCGACCATAGGCCTCATGTCTAATTTGAGCACAGCAATAAATTTCATCTTCCTTCACCTTCTTGGTAAATGGTGCAACACTTCATGCACAACAAAAAATTATTTTGAATTTCACGCCCCGGAACAAAGGCGCCTTACACCAGAGAAATCAATTGAGGCATTAATATTTTTTAATCGGTCAGCTAATACTTTTGCTATCACTTTAAAAGCAAAATTGCATAGGCTAATTTGGCGATATTGAGTTATACATTCCACAGTGGCATTATGAGAACTAATTTAATCTGGGGTTGGTTCAATCTGAGATATCAAACTGCCCATATGAAAATAACTCTTGTCTCCCGATTTCTTTGGTAGAACAATCCATTCATTCCGTCAGGTGCTTTTGTCGCTCCCATCCCAAATATCGGATCTCTTCCATCAACAGAGGTCTAATGAGTCCAGCGTTCATCTCAATTGATACCACCCAAGGGCATTATTGATCTATAATCACGTCGAAATTTTTGTACTCCTATGTTGAGAGCAAATCGCTGAAGAACTTGGTTATTATTTCTTTTAGTCTTCCAGGCATAGCACACCAAGTCCCTTCGGTGTCTTGTGATAGAGAAATCTTCAGATAGCTCAAGCATGGAAGAATTTGCTACAGTGATCACTCAATTTCAGCTATTAAAACCTAGACCTCAAATGCCAATACTGGTCCTCTTGCCTCCGAAGCAGGTCGATTCTTGCTTGAATAAATTTCGGTCTCGCCCTATCAAGCTGGCCTACTCTGTTGCTTACCAACTGAGTAAGCTGTTATTGTAAGCTTTCAATCTCCTTCCTAGCATTCTTGAACTTCTTTTTCTACTCCAGGATGTCAGTGCCGAGGAGACTCTTTTAATTTATCATAGATGTCGTTGGAAGAATCAATAGTATCGCTCCATTGCTTTGCTATTAAACCTGGACACTCATCTTATTCCTGCCATAACTCTTCAGACTCCTCTTTCGTCCTAGTTGGTTCAACAGAGCGAGTTAAGACAGAGGGCTACGTTCGGAGCCCACTGTAGGAAGAGCCCAGATTTCAGCATTTGGGAAGGAGGTTTTCCTGTTCTACGTTCGCCACTGCCCGATTGATTCATTCTCGAACATTTGCCAACCCATCCCTATTATTCGACCACCCGAAGCAGCATACCTCACTCTCTAGGTCCATTACAGACAACTATCCAAGAACTGTCTGAAAATATCCAGGCGGAAGTTTGTGCATCTCTCCTCCCTTTCTTCTCCCGATGATACAACACTACTTTAAAATCTCCCGCCGCGGCCTAGGCTGGGTTTGAAGGTGCATTTGAGTTCTCCAGATGACGCCACAGATGCAGACAATTCTGGCAATCCATAGGAGCATGAGGTAACGTTAATCTGAATGCATTTCTTCTGTCATTTTTGTCTACCAACACATCTATGTACTAATCATCAAAAGACCCGCTTAAGACTTATCAGGGTTTAGGACTAGGACTAGCCTTGTTACGAGCAAAATCCGATGCCAGGACTTGTACCTCCGTATCCACATTTCCATTCCACAACACGCACGGCCCTCCTGGTGATCCTCTCGAGTCACAAATGAACATGTGCTTAGTTCAACCCCGACTAGTGAACATTACACCTTGAAAACCTCCGGTCTGTGATATGTAGAGGTACAAACCAAAGAGTGGATAGAGAAAGACGAGATGGAGGGGTATTGGGGCATTAGAATTCAACATAATCTCGGAGAAATGCTGCCTCGGCAAAGCAATTAACAGACAACATGCTATGAAATAACACCAAAGAAAATCAACATATAAAAAGAAAAGGCCAAAAAACCGATTGTCCGATTCGACGAAGATTGCGGCAACAGCAAACAAATCGACTCTCGTCGTACACAACTTTCAATTAGAATTCAGCATTCACGACGCGAAAGCCCTCTGAGAACACTCCCCACATAGTCTCGGAGAAATGCTTCCACAACCTACTTTTAGTTCGCTCGTTCGCACACATTAAAACCTAACATCAATTCTTGCCGCGCTACATCTGAAGGAAAGCATCCTACACATCAAGTCCTTTTTTTATTCCTGATCTCAACACTCGCTCTTGCTCATCAGTTCGAAATAATATGAAACGAACATCGTCACGGTCCAATGCCCTCTTCCCCCCAAAAGCATCTCCACTACATTTGCGCTCCGCCATACCTTCTTCCACCACACTTCTTCAGAATGAAGCACCGAACAACTCCATGCCACACTCCAATTCCAACAGTCCCTGTCGATACGCCACTAAAAAACCCTAACAAAAATGAAGCTAGAAACCCCCCAAAAAAAAAATACAAGCCCCGCTCCATTTCTCGACCGCCCGCGTCACCGGCGGTACGAGATTTCTCCTGGGGGTTTTCGCTGATCAGAACCCCTAAATTGCGACATGCTGAGCTTGGTGTAGAGAGAGAGAGAGAACGGACCTGGTGGCGGCGGCGGCGGCGGCGAGAGGTTCGTCATTTAAGGGACCGGAGGCGAGCAGCGGAGGGCGATGGTGCACAGGGAGGTTGGACGGCTGCGATGCGAGTGAGCCAAACCGCGGAGGTCGTTATAAAGGACTAATATTTTATCAGGCAAGTAATCTAAAAAATGATATACAAATTTTGCTTATGGAATAAATCTACTCGCTAAAGGTAAAAAGACATTAGGGAAAATGAAAGTGAGGTTACTCCGGCATAAGCTATAGATTGGCACAGTCGGCACATTCATTGACGCAGCTAAATGCGAGTGCCGGAGATGTTCTCGACCAATTGTTCGCGATTAAATGAATCTACTGCTAGCAAGGTTTACTTGCGTAGTTATTTCGACCCCATGGAGCTTCCATGCACATATTCGTCGCTCTGAGCAGAGCCAAAAGCCAAACTACAGTCACTCAGACAATTTGGAGGAGTTTGCGCGGCCAAAGGCTGTCTTGACAGACAGTGTTCTCGGCGGCCAAAGGCTGTTGCTCGAAGGGAACGCGAAAATATTTAGGGTGTCTCCAAGGCCAACAGTCTCTTAATGACGGACAGATGGTAATATTCAAGATGTTCCAATATTTTCGGAACACAGTAAATATCCATAATCGAAATCCATATCAAACAACATATTCGAAAGGATACCTGAAAGCACTCTGCATTTCCTCTCTCCTACAAGAAGAGTTCCCATGTCTTTTCACTTTCTCTATATCTAGTTATCATCTACATGTACAGTCCTCATTAGAGCAGAAGTCTAAGATGACAAGATGACCCTATGATGTATTCTAGTTCCAGTTACATCTTGGAGGCTTCCTCAGGAAAATCATCCACGAATCACCGTTTTCGGTAGCAAAGAAAAAAAGAAACAGAGAAAATGATATCATAGAACACAAGCATGTGGGTTCTTCTCCTTACCACATGGCCAAATGTAGTATAATAAGCTTTTATGGTGGAGAATCCTTTTTGAGAAACACGAACGAATTATTTTGGCCTGTGGAAGTGCTAACATCGTATGACCATCGCATAATAAGCCTTCGAATAAGAGAGCTCGAGCACAGCGGATAATGCAGCACAGCAATGTTTGTTGGAAATATGCAGTGCCTGATCAAAGTAGCATAATACGGACTCGGGATCGGTGTACTGATTAGAACAGCTATGAGACAATGATTACCCATTTGACGCTCGTCGCAACACCGACACACGGGTAGGGGAAATGCGCTATTATTGCTACTTTAAAGTTACCAATATCGTCCCAGATTGAGAGTTAAAACTCTGCAACACTGCAGCTGCAACTACCCTGTCAACCTCAGCCCAAAAAGGAAGGAGCAGTATGCGACTCCACGCGTCCGCACTCAAGTCCCATCAGCTTATCTTCTCAATGTGCATCCCCCGGACTTCAACGCTACTAATCTCCCATTCAAACAAAAGAGCCAGCCAATCTATCCTCCTCCACCAAGTAGTCTTTGCCCAATCATCATTCTGATATTGAGTATCCATCCCAGCCCACCTGGTATATTTCTAGTAAATCTGTCCCCAACTTCTTCTGAATGACAAAAACGTACGGACAATAAAGAAATTAAATTGCCAAGAATGTTTCATGATTTCATGCACAAAGCACTGCCAAATTGAATTATCTAATATTAATGTTCCTCATGTTAGATTTATGTCGATTCTGTGCTCCAGTTACCGTTTATGCGTTTTCACCAAAAGAATAAAAAGAATAAAAGAATTGAGAAATTAGAATCAAAAGCTAGTAAAAGATTTCAAAGGACAAACTTGCCTGTCCAAGCCCACAAGGTCGGGCCTTCCAACAGAGAAGTTCCATGCCCGAGAGGTGGAGAGGAAACTGCACAGAAATTTGACTGCAGGCAGTGTCTTAGCCGAAGGAGAGAGACCGACTGGTGCATCATGGAGTTGTACAGATGTTCAAGTCGACTTGAGGAAAGCAAAAAGTAGCAATATTTACCTTTCAGAAAAGCCTCCAACTTTTTATTGAAGATAGACCGAATATCCGTTGTGCAGTAAGATCTTCAATCATAAGTAGGAATCATTCTCGAAGCATTTCCACAATATTCTGACCATAGCTAGGTGTGAGCAACGTAACTGCCAACTATTTGTTCTTCTGGAAAATTGTACCCATCGATTTCGAATGTACGATTTGTTCGATCAGGTAATCCGGTCAATGAAGGGCAGTCGAATAAAGTGAGCCTTCTCAAACGAGGCAAATTTTCCAGCCCATCAAGTGTTCGCACATTGCAGTCGGATATTTTCAGAAGTTCCAATCGCCTCAAATTATCAAGACTGACAGTCGCTGCCAGGAGACAGTTTTCGAGTTCTAATTCAGATAGACTTCTCACCGTAGAAAATTGTGAACATTGAATCACACAGCGCTGGAGGCACAATACCGATAAGCTAGAGGGTAGCTCTCTGAGGTCAAGCAATTTTGCGTGGTGCAAAACAAGTTTTCTAAGTTGAAGTTTATTAAAATGTTCAGGTAGCTTGGTGATGTTTGAGAGGCACAACTCCAAGATTTCTAGATTCGCTAGTCTTGTTAGCCATCCAATTTCTGGTGGCTCAGAGGAGGAATTCTGCATTCGATCAGTAGGATCAAAGTTATCACCCAAGTACAGCTCTTTCAAGTTTCTTAAGAAAGAAAGGTCTGGCACCGTCCGCATTTTTTTGGATCCCCAGCGAAGAATGCTTAAACTAGATGGAAGTCTTTGCAAATCCCAAAGTTGGTCACATTCACTTAAATCCAGTTGTTGGAGATCAGAGAGCAATGGAAGGGTCGAGGGTAGGCTAGAAATCTGGGTAGATGATAATCTCAAGATTTTCAAAGAGGATAATCCTCTGATATCGCAGAGAATCCACCCCTTCATATTCCTGCATTGTGAAAGATCCATCTCTTCCAGCTTTTGTAGATTTTTAATGTCTTTGGGAAATTCTTCTAAGTGAGTATTCTCCATCTTCAGCACTTTCAAATTTTTCAAATGCTTGACAGACCTAGGTAAACTAGCAATCTTTGTGCTTGATAGATCCATGACTTCCAGTGACTCAAGATTCCCAATAGAACCAGGAAGCTCAAGTAAATTCTGACAATTTCCAAGAAGCAGGCTCCGAAGTTTCTTTAAGGATCCAATAGAATCTGGGATGCTATCAATAGCAGCACCATCCAGTCGAAGATGCAAAAGAGATTCCAAGTGACCAATAGGGTTTGATATACGAGCCAAATTTTTACATTGGCAAGCGCTCAGAGTCTTAAGTTTCTTCATGGAGGCTGGTTCGAAATTAATCTCACTAATGGCAGTTCCATCAATCAGAAGTTCTTCCAAAGCTTTCATATCACACAATTCTCGCGGCAAGTCTCTGACAGATTTGCAGAACTTAAGATTTAAGGAGACTAAGTTCTTTAGATTACCTATCAATGGACCAATTTGGGATAGTGCGGAACAACGTTCCAGGACTAATCTCTCTAGGTACATCGAAGCACGGAAGTCTGGAAAAGCATTTAGGTTACAACAGCTACTTAGGTTGAAAACTTTCAATTCCTTTGCCTTCTGCAAGAAAAGAGGATAGAAAAGGCTCAGCTGGTGCTATCTATTCCAATAATCCCAGGGTACATAGACAAAAATGCACTTTACCTTCAGGATTTGTCCCCATACTTGTGAATCTCCAGTGACCAAACTGCGAGATAGATCAAGAATGACCAGTTTCTCTAAATGGAAAATAAGTAGTTCAGAGATCTGGCTGCACCCTTGCCAATCAAGCCACCTTAAATTTGAAAGAACATTCTGAGAACTCTCTCCAACAGTAGCCTGGTCCAATCCCAAAAACCTCAAGCGCTGCAGATGGCGAAGCCACCTTGAATTTGAAAGAACATTCTGAGAACTCCCTCCAACAGTCGCCTGGTCCAATCTCAAAAACCTCAAGCGCTGTAGATGGCCAAATCCTTCACAACTAAAACATTCACTTTGTCCCTTATCAAACGTGAGACCAAGGGCTTCCACCTTTTCAGCACTCTGCAAATCGAGGGAACTGAATAAATAGAAAGGGGAATGAAATATAACCATTCACACTTCATTTTGAGAAAGAAAAATTAAAGAAAGGAAGTATCTTCAAAGATTGTTAACTATTTTACACTAAAAGATTTTAGTATACCTTCTTTCCATTAAGTGTGGAAAGAGCATCAATGTGATCCCATAACCTACTGCGCTTTTGAGGCTCATCGCAATCTTCCATCCTAACAATTTCCCTGCCAAACTCTCTTAATTGATTATGCATCCATAATTCATTGTTTTCTCCTGTTTTGACCAAACTCATGTCACGGAGTAACTCAATTCCTCTTGAAGGATAATATTCACATGCATCCCACATGTATGAGGGAATTCTCTCATCCGTTCCAATGAAAAAACATGCTATATCGAGAAATATGTTTCTCGTCTCTTCATCCAAAGAGTCATAGCTTACCTTGATCGCTTCTTGGACTATATCTTCCGGCTTTCTACTTAGTCTATGCAATGTATCTTGCCATATTCGTATTTTCCCCTTATTCCTATTCAAGTATGAAGCGGTTACTTCAATTGCCAAAGGAAGCCCTCCAATGGTGTCGACAATCTTTTCGGACAGAGAATCATACACATCCTCCTCTTCTCGAGGACACGCAGTACAAGCATGCTTGCGGAAAAGTTGAAGAGCTTGATCACGCCCCATTTCTCCAACCTCATATTTATCAGCCACTCCATCTCTGTAACCATCAAGAACATCAATTCTTCCAACTGTCATGAGAATCCTGCTTCCTGGGCCGAACCAGCTGAATTTCCCAACTAAATGCTCGATTTGGCCAAAATCATGCACATCATCAAGGAGAATGAGAACCTTCATATTGCTAAATGAATTTGCTATGACTCTGGCACCTTCGTCACAAGTACTTAGCCTTCTATATTCTTTCTTTTGGAGGTCAGAGATTAACTGTTCTTGCAGGCCCATGAGTCCATTGGATATAACATTTTCTCGAATATTTGAAAGAAAACTACAACGTTGAAAGAGACCATGGATTTTGTTGTACACAACCTTTGCAATGGTAGTCTTGCCAATCCCGGGCGTGCCGTTTATTCCAAGTACACGCACATCTTTGTCATATACTTGCGTTGCTCGCTCATTGGCATAGATAACACCGAGCTTTTTCATAACCTCCCGTACGTGGGGTTCAATGTCCACTAAACCGTCGGTTACATTTAAATCATTCTTCTTCAACAACTCTAGAATATATGAAACGACTGTCTGTATGAGTGCACCTTGATGCCTGCCAAACGCGAATGATGGAAATGAGGAATCATGATGAGATTACAAAACAATTAACAACAGCCTATGAATAATACAAAGGAAATAATCCAGTTAAACCGTACTAAATATTGACCAATAAGGACGATTTAGTGGGTAACAACAAGGGCACGGGAATACATTTACTTCACTGTCAAATCTAGTCCCATCCAATTAACGATTTCAAAAACATTGTGCTTGGCAAAATTCTCACAAATTTAAAGCTAATTACATTAAAAGGACAGTAAAAAGATCATTACCCATCGTATGTATGCGGCAGATCATACCCCTTGATCTCAATAATCTCTCGGAGAGCCCATTTCCATGTATCAATGACCGTGCAGTCAATTCCACGGTCCTCGTGCTTACGGAAGGACTCCCCGACACATCCAAGTTGGTATTTTAAATCAGCGGGGTTAATATCATAGAAAATGGGTATGATCAGTTGAGTGTCTGCTCTTTTGCATTCCATCATTTGTGCCAATTCCATGAGACAACTCTTACTGGATGCATAATCCTTGGAGATAATAGGAATTGATATCTTGGATTGCTTTATGGATTGAACCAATGCATCGTGGATCTTTTCTCCAGGATCAAGATCATTATTGTCTCTAAAGACAATGATCCCTGCATTTCTCAGGCTGGCGTAGAGGCAATCTGTAAATCCCTGACGAGTATCGGGACCTCTAAAACTCAAGAACACATCATAATTGGCTCTTGACGACGAGGAGGAGGAGGAAGACGGCGGCGGTGGTGACGAGACCAAATCCTGTAAAATGAAAGAGGCAAACTCTATCAGAAGCTGCCACTGCGTTTTAGATAATTTCTGAAGACTGGCGAAATGAAAAAAGTGGAGGCATACAGGCTGACTGGTTTGACAAGAATGGTCTTATCTGAGACAAGAAAGTTCCCTAAAAAAAAAACAAAAGAAAAAGAGCTGACCCCGTTGAATCTAGGCTCATTGATGATGTTGATATGAGATCTAGCCGATTTGAATACCAAATCAAGATCAAGAAATGTTATCCTTTATGTCCAAAGAAAATATTTGCACTGAAGATGCAGATCTGAGCATATACCAGCTAAATCAACAGTCCTCATCCTCACACAGACATAACCCAGAAAAATCAAAAGAAAGAAACAAACGCACAAACACGGGGAAGCGGAACTAACCGGCTTTCTCCTCTTGCGTGCATAACACAGGCCATACAAACGAGGCGACACAGACGAGTTGGGGGCCGTCGCCTCCCTCTCTCGCTCACTGTCTATGCTACGGGAAGAGATCTTTCGCTTCATTTGAATCACCTCCCGGGGTTGGATCTTAGGATATCAGATCAAAAATTGATCAGAAGTGAATGCCAGGGGAAGATGCAAAGGGTTGCCAAGTCAATGCCAGTGGAAGATGCAAGAGTTGACAAGTCAAGCGAAAGGGAATTAAAAATTGATAAAAAAGACTAATTCCCTAAAAAGACCCTACATTTTAGGTCTACTTTCAATTTTGTCCGGAAGTTTCTTTTTATTTAAAAAAGTCCTCAATTTTCATTCAACTCTCAAATCCGTCCACGCATTCAAAAATTACCACAAATGTCTTCAATATTATCAACATTATCAGGCTGCTATTAATTTAGGGTATTGATGAAAATGCAACTTATGATAATGAACCTCTAACATGCCTTAATATTGATAATTTTAAAAGAACTAGTGGCGATTTTGGACGCGCAAGTCAATTTGAGATTAAAGTGAAATATTTAAAAAAAATTAGAAAACAATTTTAAGATAGATTTGAAATATGACCTTAAGTTTGGGTTTTTTAGGGAACTGGGCTTTGATTAAAAATTTGTATCGAGGGAGAGAGAAAGGGTAGGGTGGTGGAGAAAGGGTGAGTTTGGTTTGGCTTTTAGGGAAAGTTTTTATGAAAATGCAAAGATTTTTAGGTTAAAAAGGTTTTTCGAAATACAAGTAATATTTGGTAAATCATAATTTCAAAGTGCATTGAGAAACAACTTTGGTTTAAACGGTGTTCAGAAAAATCAAATTTTAGAAAGAACTTTTACTATATAAAAAAAAACTTCAAAACTATTGAAAAACAAGTGGCCAGCGAGGCCAAATCTGTCTGATGGCAGCCTCTCCTAAGGTCATCTGACCTTAGGTGACCACCATAGCCTGGGTCACGCGACCCCTCGCTTGGGGTCGAGCAACGGCCGGCCTCGTGCAATTCTCAATGGAGCTTCACCTATGTAGAGAAGATGAATAGTGCTTATGAGGGCAAAATAAAAAAAAAGAATAAATTGGTGAGAGTAGTTTTGGAAGAAAAAATTCCTAACCCTAAAATGAGTTTTTAACTTTCACAATGCTAGCATTTGGCCAAAGTTTGGGCAAAGAATTTGACAAACACTCCAAATTTTTTTCCAAAACCCCTTTGGAAAATGGTTCCCAAACGGAGATGAAGTTAGGTGAGGAAAGCATAGAAAACGAGGTAATGGAAATTACCACACTAACCTCTATGATGAATAACTGAGGACGGGGCAAAAATTCCACGTCCATATTGTATATATAAAGTCCAATTTTAAATATATTGCCCATCCTTTAAACGATCGGTTTAACTTTATTTTGATAGTCACTTTCTCAACCACGTTCACTCCATTACCAGGCATTTTGACTTAAAAAAAGCAGAAGAAAATACAGAAAAACATAGGAACTAAACAAAAGCATCATTTTCATTTTACCGTCACTAGTATTAGACTAATGGAAAATATTAACATGGCTTTTTTTAAAAATATTTTCTCTTTCATAAATGGCAATGATATGGCTAAATCATGAAAAGCTAAAACGACATCGTTTTAGTTTAAATCTAATTTTTAATACAAAATAAATTTAAAAAATAAGTTAAATTAAAGAAAAGGGAGAAACTAGGTCGTGAGGGCTGCAAGTCCCCGCCGCCACCGCCCCACCATCATTGGGAAGGGCCAGCGAAGGTGGGGGATGGCCAGCCCTTCCCGGCGATGCTGGGGCGGCGAGGGCTTGCAGCCCTCAACGTCCGGTTTCTCCCTCCTTTTTATAAAAAAAAATTAGCTTTTTTTTAATTTAATTTAAATAAATTTGTATTAAAAATCAAATTTGAACTAGAACGACGACGTTTTAGTCACGTAGGATAAAGAAAATAATAATAATAAGTCACATCAACATTTTCTATTAACCAAGTTGGACGGAATGAACAGAATGACTCGATTGAATCAATTTGACAAGTTTTAGGACTCAATTGCACTTTCGTAATAAGTTTTAGCACTTCCAGTACACTTATCTCTATTGTTTATCTACTAAAGTTGACGAGGAAATTTAAATTTTCTTAATATTATATCCTTTCTATGTACAACATAGACATTAAGATCCAACAATCATTAGATAGAATATATAGCAAAATAATTTTACAGCATGATTTTAATTGTTGTTTTCTCTTGCACACAGGTACCATGTGCATTTTTTTCGTATGGATACTAATTTTCTTATTATTGGCTTTTTGGTGTCCTTAAAAATGATGAATTTTCGTAAAATAAACTTAAAATACACCATTAACTAGAATTATTTCAATAGTGCTCTTTAGTATTTTTATCTCAGTCCAAAACAAAATATCTTTTATTATTTTACGTTTTTCTTTTAAGCTATTACGTGGTTCTCTTTCCTACAATTAATATGATAACACATATACATATTAATTATACCTTTAAATCAATCACGTTGACGCCCCTCCACTAAAATTCTAGCTCTGTCACTGGGTGTTGTCCATAAGTACTTTATCACCTTCCACAGGTCAATAGTTCCCTTTAAATTTTGATTTTTATCTAAAGAAAAATAATTAGTTTTGAGACTTTCATTAAAAAAAAAGAAGAAGAAGAGGTTGATATCATTAAAATCCCAAACTAGTAACCCATGACACATTTACCCCAACCTCACAAAAAAACCCCAAACTGATACTCCTGACCCAAAATTACCTTCCTTTAAAATGCGTACTTGTCAACACACGTGAATTTTCATATCGGATCTATCACGCTCCACGTAATGTGCCTTTTAACGGAATATTGAACGGAACGCCAATGAAACGCGGAATTTGGTAAGGGGTACCAATTTAAATTTTTTTTATAAGACGAAAATAGATAGGGGTAAATGTGTTATGGATATCAGTCTGAGATTTTTTATGAGCGAAAATTAGTTTTTGGTAACTGTGTTATTGTGCTACCAACTTAAAATTTTTAGTGAGACGAACATTAAATTTAAGGGTACCAATTTGGGATTTTTAGTAGTATTAATCAGAAAGCTAATCTAAGCCAAACCCTAGTGAGAGATCACCAAAAAGAAAACAAACATTATTTTTCATTTTGTTTACAGATTTTCCAGTTTGATTTTTTTTCTTTCATTCCTTTTTCTTCTTTTTGAAATCTTTAAAAAAATTAATGTGGTATACTAAGATAGAAAGGCCCTTAGCTTGCGTTCCGATTCACCGGGTATCTAGACCTTTTGCAATAAAATTCAAATATAAAAAATTCATTTGTTTTTTCTTGAATCTAGTTATTATGCCAAAATTAAATCCGGGGGTAACAAAAAAATAACACTTTTATCAAAATTTCACTAACAGGTGTCGAAAAATGGCTGTAACTTTTTTGTGGCACAAATTAATTTTTTTATTTTTCCTAACATCACTAGTAATAATTTGGGAAAAAGTCACATTTATCCTAAACTTCTTTTGTGACATCAAAAACCCCAAACTATGTCATATGAGGCATATTTACCCTAAACATTTCTTTTGACGTAAAAAAACCCCCAATTTGTACCAATGTAACACATTTACCCTCCGACAAGGTTCCATTAAATGATTTTTCAACTAAAACAATGTCGTTTTTATTTCACTTGAGTCACGTGGGCATCATGTCAATGCTTTTTATGGCAACCATGTAGACATATTTTCATCAATTCTCATTGACAGAACTTATATGTACAAGTTTGGGATTTTTAGTGTCACAGAAAAAAATTTAGGGTGAATGTGTTTTTTTTTTTTTTTCAGAAGATAAATATGTTACAGTGGGCATAGTTTAAGGTTTTCTGGTGGCTTTTGCCCTAAATTTTATGTATATTTTTTCTCTTTCTTTTTTTGTCTTAACATGAAAGTAAGGCTCGTATTTCTGTAAAAATTAGTTTTATTTTTATATAATTATTTTTTCTCTCCAAATTAGTTTTGTTTTTTAACTAAAGCAAAGGAAGAATTAGTTTGATAAAGGACTACCAATGTCAAAACAATTTATTGTTCATAAAGTTGTTTCCTTTACCTAATTAGTTCATTTTATTTTTTTCTTATCGAATCATAAAAATTATCGTTCTATATTGATATTTCTTTTTATTTTAATTTCTGTGTATCCGTTAGTCTTTTATCATAGTCCAATCAAACTACAGGGAAATCATTGCATTTCATTAGCGCCTCTAATAAAATAAGGAAACTAAAGATTTATCTTTGATAGAAGTACTTCGATTCTATCGTCAAATGACTTGAAAAAAAGTTGAAATTTTATTATGTGTAATAGATAATTAAAATTTTAGTGTGAGGTATTGACATAAAATTTAAGCAAAGACACATAACATGAGAGGACATTGGGCTGTTATTCTTCGTACCTTTGGTGATATGAAATTTCAACAAACTCATTCAGTTTCAAGAAAAATAATTACATTGAGATAATCTTTCACTGAAAAGAAGTTTAATTTTCTCCTTGGTGACACGCGGGATCATTCTAGTAAAATGAGAATGCGGGTGTCTTCATTTGAGTAAGAGAAAACGACACAAATGGTACATGAATTTTCGTTTAATATACAATATGTTCCTTGAATTTTTAATTTATTCAATGTGGTTCATGAACTGTAGCACAATGTATAATATGGTCGCTGAACTTTTAATTTGTTCAATGTGGTCCTTGGATTTTTTTATATATGTTTAGTTTAGTCTCTGAATTATATGAAAATGTTCAATATTGTCCCTAAAGTTGAATTAATGGAAGGACAATATTAAACATTTTCATATAGTCCAGGGATTAAGTTGAACACGTACCAAAAGTCCATGGACCATATTGAACAAATTAAAAGTTTATGAACCACATTACACATTGGGCTACAGTTCAGGGACCACATTGAATAAATTAAAAATTAAGGGAATATATTGCATATAAAACCAAAGTTCATTGACTATTTATGTTAGTATCCCTTTGAGTAAGTACTAATTCCAGGAATATCTATTCAACACTAGTTTGTGGGATTCTCAATTTCACCCGATTTTTTATTTTCTTACCCCAGCTTTTCAAAACCAATACATGCATCCCTTAATGTTGACTCCAGCCAATTTTCATCTAAATCAGAGT